TCTCTCTCTCTCTCTCTCTCTCTCTCTCTCTCTCTCTCTCTCTCTCTTTCTCCAGGGTTTCTCTATGTAGCTTGGGAGCCTATCCTGGAACTAGCTCTTGTAGACCAGGCTGGCCTCGAACTCACAGAGATCCTCCTGTCTCTATCTCCTGAGTGCTGGGACTAAAGGCATGAGCCACCACTGCCTGGCTTATTATTCTTATTTTTAAAAAGACTTTGGTTTTTTTGTTATTTTTGTTGTTTGTGTATATGTGTATCTGTGTGATTGTATGTGTACACATGTGTGCAACTGCCGTTGAATCAGAAGGTGTCAGATCCCCTGGAGTTGGACTTACAGATGGTTGTGAGCTGCCTGACACGGGTGCCGGGAACTGAAGTCGGGTCCTCTAGAAGAGCATCAGGTGCTCCTAAGCACTGAGCCAGCTATTTGGCCCCCGTCTCACTTTTTCACGTCTTTCGGGGAAAATAACTGATTTTTTTTTATGTTCTGGGGATAATCAGAGAGGCCGTGGCGTGCCATTTCTCTCTCAGAATCTAGGTGCTGGGTCATATGTTATTTTCCAAGTAGGTCTCATTGTTTTTCTTTTTTTCTTTTTGAGACAGGCTTTCTCTGTGTAGCGCTAGCTGTCCTGGAACTCATTCTGTAGACCAGGCTGGACTCAAATTCGGAAATCTATCTGCCTGCCTCTGCCTCTCTGGGATTAATGGTGTGTGCCCCCACCACCTGGTTTAAGTTCTGACATCCAGGCTGTGTAGCAGTGGCCTGTGAACCTGTGAACCAGCTGCTCGCTTTGCTCTCACCTGTCAAGCTTCAATGCACCCTGCATAGATGACCTTCTCCCTGGACAAACAGGGGTGGAGTCACCTAAAAGATTCCAGAACTGGGTAAAGGAAGCACACGAGGTTTCTCAAGAGCTTGTTTCCTCAAAGAAAGAAAAAGGCCACGGGGTCAACGGCGCCATTTATAATAATTCACAGCAAGTCAGGTCGCTCTTCCGCCACTCTTTAGTTGCAGGCCCTGGCCTCGGAGCTGAAAACTGGCTTCACAGAAGCGATGCAGGAACTGACGCGCATCCAGCATGGAGAATATGCTTTGGAAGAGAAGGTCAAGAGCTGCCGATGTTCCATGGAAGAGAAAGTCACCGAGATGAAGAATTCATTAAACTACTTCAAGGTGGGAGCCTCCTTTATTTCCCAGCTAAAAGCACATCGGCCTTTATTTCCCAGCTAAAAGCATGTCGGCCTAGTACCACATGCTGAAAATTTGCCCAGGGTAAGACGTTGCCCTCTGAGCCAACTGTCGGTCATCACGGAGCACTGCCTATCTCATGGTTTTCCGCTTCTGAGCCCTGTGTTAAAGCTAGAGGCCACAATGAAAGCCAACGCCATCCCTTATTCCCCATTCACTCCAAAGTCTGCACCAGGTAAAGGCCTGTGGGAGACTGACATATGCTCTCTTACCCCGTGGTCTTAGGGTTTCTACTGCTGTGCAGAGACACTGAGACCATGGCAACTCTTATAAAGGAGACATATCAATTAGGACTTGCTTCCAGTTTCAGAGGTTTAGTGCATGCAGGCAGACAAAGTGCTGGAGGAGGAACTGAGAGTGGAGAAGGAGCTCCATGTTGATCCTGCAGAGAATAGGAAGTGGTCTGAAACACTAGGCAGGGACACACTTCCTACAACAGGGCCAAAGCTGCTACAACAAAAGCCGCATCTCCGGATAGCGGAGCTTCTGTGAGTTTCTGGGGGCCAATTCCATTCAAACGACTGCTTCTTACACCGTAGGAAGAGCTGAGCAACGCAATGTCGATGATCCAGGCCATCACTTCCAAGCAAGAAGAAATGCAGCAGAAAATCGAACAGCTTCAACAGGAAAAACGAAGGGAATCGCGAAAGGTTAAAGCCAAGTGAGTAGCTAGGGAATATTTACTCCAGGCAAACCCGTAAGCAACGCTCTTGCACAGAGGCCCTGAGAAAGCTTTCAGCTGTTAGCATGTGAGGAGTAGGCTCCTGTGCAGCGTAGATCAGCTCGTGCTGGAAGAGATGAAGCCACACAAGCTGGTTAATACTAAGGCTGGAGCGACAGCCCAGTGGTCTGGCTGCTCTCGCAGAGGACCAGAGTTTTCAGTTCCGAGCACCGCATCAGGTATCTCCCAAACGTCTGTAACTCTAATTCCTTTTCTGACCTCTGCAGGCAAATGGGCACGTACACACACACACACACCACACGCATGCACGCGCACACACAGAGCATGCACACTTGTAGTGCATCCATAAGACATTTTGAACACCAGAGCTTGGTTCTCCAGAACCCACATAATGTTATGGGGAGGAGCAGGTTAGCTAGTGAGACTAGTCAGTCATATGGATGAGGTTTGAGTTTGATGGAAAGACCCTGCCTCCATGAAACAAGGTAGAGGTTGAAGGAGCACAATTCACAACTCCACATGCATGAATGCATATATGTGCTCACATGCATGCACACACACACACACATCTGTGTGCCCTTGTGCACAAAAGGAAAAAATGCTACTGTTTTCTGGTACTTGGGGTCGAGTTGTTAAGTGAGTGAGTCATCCCAAGCAAATACCTAGCACTGCCAAGTTTACAGACCGCTCCAAGAGCAAGGCATGGATGGTGACCATGCCTTTAACCTAGCAGTCAGCAGAGGTGGGAGAATCTACATAGCAAGGTCCAAACAGCGAGCCCCAGGCTAACCAGGGCAACATAGTGAGACCCAAGTGTCGAAAACGAACATCAAAACAAAATCAAAGATCCTGGTGATAGGGAAGTCAGTAATAGAAAAATAAGAATTAAAACATTTCAGTTAGAAGTAATTTATAGATACTGAAGTTGATGAATTAAGTTAAACCATATGAACTGACTTCAACCATTTATAGTTTATAAAAAAAATATTTATATGGTTCAACCTGTGTGTGTCTTGGCAACACATTAAAAAATCTTCATTCTCTGGCATTATTCTGAATTGAGCCTCCCGGATATTAAGAACCAAAGCAAACTTTCTGTTTTCTCTTTTGCTAGGAAAACCCAAAAGGAAGAGCATGGTGCACAGGCCGGACCTGCATCTGCGCCTGGGCAAGCGCAAGGGAGCCCCTTCCGCTCCATCAATGTCCCCGAGTCGGGTCATCCCAGTGAAGACTTCACCAACATTTTGCCTTCTCAGACCTATGAAAAAGGTGCAGTTCATAAACCATGGTAAATTAACCATCCTTTCTCCTTGATTCCTAGGAATCGTGCCTTGCATCTTCACTAGGAGTCAATAAAATGCTTCCATACTGCTCAGAACTTTCCTGGTATCTAGAACTGGAAGCGACCAGATGACCGCTGGTTCCTGAGAGACTGCCCATTTTTAAATGTTTTATGGAAAATACTAAGTTGACTTCTTCTAAGTGTTTAACTTAAAAATAATTTAGTGCAATCAGTGCAATACCAACTATGAGAGAACTCAACATTTTTTAAAAGTCACTCTAAAAAGTTACTTTCTGGTGGTGTAACTCAGTACCTGTGTTTCTCTGGGAAGCCAGGCTGCTGCTGCACACAGACTAAAGCATTCACCGCAGTCACCAGCCACTTCCTGACAGTACCGACGTGAGAAATACTCACAAGATGGCACGCTGGTGGCTCCAAAGGAGTTGGCTTTTCAGGGGCTCTGTGATCCTGGACCTGCACTCAAATCAGGAAAAGTAAACAAAACAAGACAAAATTTACTACCTCATCATTATATTTTCAAAAGTGTCCAACAAAGCACCTACATATAGAAAAATGACATTTCCACACATTACCCTGGGCCGAGTCCTCCGCTTCTTGTTCTGGTCTTACATAAAAAGTCCTCCAAAGATAGGCTCAGTGATTTTTTTCAATCAAGTATAAACGCCTCAACAGTAAAGTAGGGTTGATGATTTTTCATCCTTGCAGCCCAAGAAGAACCTGTTTTACCGATTCATAGACAGTAAGCGTGTTATGAATAACTGAACCTGACACCCGAAGACAAGTGTCTTTCACTTGGTGAACTGAGTACAGGGTTGCTTGGTTACTGGCCTTTTGCTGGTGCATCTGAGTGCTTCCTTTAGTCGTCAGTGAGTGCAGCCTGGGGAATGGCTGCTCCATCCCTTTGGAAGGGACTTCCACAGGTGGTCCTCTGTTCTTGGCTCTATGGTGAGAAGAGCAGAGCCAAAGATGGACTCGGAGGAGAGGTCAGACCCGTACGAGGTCTGGAGCAGCTGTGTGCATTCCCAAGAGAGAATCTTAAGTAAATTTGCAAAGCAAATTTGTGCATCTCTGTACAATGTGTGACAGCCCTCTTGGAATTCTTTTCCTCAGGTTTTCCACCGAAAACAGGTAATCCAGGTGACTGCATTGCCCAATGCATTTATTTATTTAAAAGTTTTTATTTGTTACTATTAGTTTGTATGACTGCAGATGAATGTGGGCCTCAACATGGGTTTGGAAGTTAGTGAACAACTTTTGGCTGTGGCTCTCTCTTCCCACCATGAATTTCAGATCAAATTCAAGTCATCGAACTTTCTCACAGGCTGGATTGAAGTGATCTGCTCACTGGCAGTCTCTCCTTCCCTCCTCATGACAGAGACATCTCATAGCTTATTCTACCCCATTGCTGATTAAAGGATCAAACTCTCAGAAAATGTTGGTTTATCCTTTTTTTTTTTTTAATGATACTATGGTGTGATTGCTGTCTGTTATCCCCAAATTTCATAGCTTCCAGGAGCAAACATTCATTACCTCAGTTTCTCTGAGCCAGGAATCTGGTCACAGTTGGTCTGGGTACCACTCACTTGGGGTCTGCCATGACGTAGGTTGCCATCGAGGTGCTGGCCACGGCTGTTGTCATATGAGGGTTATATTTAGGAGGCATCTTCTTCCAGACGTACCCACATGGTGGGGTAGTCCCTGTGACACAGGTATCTGCAGCATGACACCTGTCTCGCCCCAGGGTGTTGGTCTAACAGGATGCTCAAGACAAAACTATAGCTTTCTATAACCTAGTTTTGGAAGAAGCAACTCAGCCTTCCTGCCATAGTCTATTCATCAGAAGATAATCGTTAATTCCAGCACCACTCACAGGCAGGAATCCCAGGAAGGGGATGTCTAGGGGTAAGGACAACTGGGGAGCCATCTTAGACACTATTTGCCACAAATGGTTAACCCTTCTTCTTTTCTTTCCTTTTAAAAAGATTATTTATTTTTAGTTATTTTAAATTCTCTCTCTCTCTCACTCTCTCTCTGTGTGTGTGTGTGTGTGTGTGTGTAAGAGCAGCAGAGACATCAGATCTCCCTGGGTCTGGAGTAGTTGGTGCTCTTAACCCCAGAGCCATCTCTCCAGCCCTGCCCTTCCTTTGAAAAGATCCCTTCTGTATGTGTGTCTGCTGATGGGACACTTCATTCATATACCTTAGAATTCAAAAGTCTGAAATGTCATTTAAAATGAGATGATGCTCTTTTGTCAGATTTATTTATTTTATGTGGATGAATGAATATTTTGCCGACATGTATGTACGTGTGCCACGAGTGCCTGGTGCACCTGGGCGTATGAAGCAGGAGATGGATACCCTGGAACTGGAGTTATGGGGGATTGTGCACCACTGTATGGGTGCTGAGAACTGAACCCTTTCTTCTGCAAAAGCAACAGGTCTCTTAACTCCTGAGCCGTCTCTCCAGGCCCTGAAAATACTATTTTATGGAACTAAGTAAGCTCCTTGGAATCTTCTAGCCTGAGAAGCCTTCAAGAAGATTTTTAAAATTCAATTATCTCCTCCTCACATCCCCACTTCTTCAGAATCTCTGAGGCCTAACCTAGGTCTCAGGCCGTGCATATTAGATACGATCCCTACCGCCCAGTTATATCCCAGGCCTAGAAGCTGACTTTTTTTTTGGATGATGTCGTTCCACCATCCATTTCTCCTTCCGTATGTCCTACTTATTCAGCCTTCCCAGTTTTGGCACCTACCCTTGCAACTCCACTAAAGCTCTTTCCTTACCTGTTGTTGCCACATAGATTTTTTAAGATAAAAGTATAAAGATCCCATTTATTTATTTATTGAGGTGAGTATGCGAAAGTCAGATGGCAACTGTGTGAGAATCAATTCCCTCTTTGCTGGGGCTAGAACTCAGGTCATCAGGCTCGGCAACAAGTGTCTTTGTCCACTGAATCATCCTCCAGCCCTCCTTCCCTTCCCCATCAGCGTCCCTTTGATGCCTGCTTTCTCAAAATGTTTTCTTCTCTTGACACCCTGCTTCTTTGACTTTCCTTCTATTTTCTGCCTACTTGTAAATTTACCTTTTTGGTTTCTTACTGCTATCAGATTCAAAGTCTAAATTTCTTTCTTTTTTCCTTTGGTTCTTGAGACAGAGTTTCTCGGTGTAACCCTCCCTGACTATCCTGGAACTTGCTCTATAGACTAGGCTGGCCTTGAACTCAAAAGAGATCCACCTGCCTCTGCCTCCTGAGTTCTGGGATTAAAGGGTGCACCGCCACTGCCCCTAGTATAAACTTCTTCACACAGTTTCCAAGGCCATGCATGTATATTCTCTCTCTCTCTCTCTCTCTCTCTCTCTCTCTCTCTCTCTCTGCTTTTCTATTCTCTTCTCTATGGTTGTCCCTATTTCTACCCCTGTAGTCTTTTTTTTCCTTCTAGACAGCATTTCTCTGTAGCTTTGGAGCCTGTTCTGGAACTAGCTCCTGTAGATCAGGCTGGCCTCAAACTCACAGAGATCCACCTGCCTCTGCCTCCCAAGTGCTGGGGTTAAAGGTGTGTGTCCCACCACCCGGCTAAAAGCAGGTTTCTTTAGTCCTCTAGTCTTTAGGCCTTGCTCCCACCATATTCTGTGGCCTCTGGACCTTGGCATTAGATCATCCCTCTCCTTATGTCCTCTGTCTCTTCTTTGTTAGTTCATCCACACCAGGCTACTTCTTGCCTCAGTGGTCCAATCAGATTCAAATAGTGATGAAGTAGGGAAGGGTCTTATTTCAGTGTGGCCCTGAAGGTGGATTATCATCTGAAGTCTTGCTTTAAGAACCAGCAAATAGCTCTAGGACAATATGGAGAAAGAACACAAGAGGATGGGTTGGGGGGATCATGTGTAGTCAGGCAGTCTTGGCCAAATTGTAGTCTGACTCTGAGGGTCTTGCTGGAGCTAAAGAGATGATGGTTTGTGTGGCTTCTTGTTTCTGGAACTTTCGATAAGCTGAGAAGTGAAGTGACCCAGAGAAAGAAAGGCTGGAGGAGAAAACAGAGTTAGTTGGGACACTCACTAGACAGTCCTTCAGGTTTACAGCAGCGATGGGGGACTTTTAGGGGCCATTCCATTGGTCCTAAATGGGATGTTGTAAAAGCTGGTGGTCTACTGTCTGTTGATGTTGATGTACCAATAAGTATAGAAAATGTCCGACTCTATCTTGGTGCCCTCCACCTTAAAGGGGGACAAGCAGAGCTAGGCAGGTAAATTTTGAACTAAACAGCCGTGTATTGTGAATTTTAAACAGGGATTCTGTAGATGATCTCATGTCCATCTGCAAAGCTGGATGCGAATCTGACTCGAGTTTAAGGCAACAGCCGGCAGATGCAGCGCGAAGGCAGGGACGCCAGGCTTCCACTCTTTCCACTCACCCATCAGACACCCGTGGAGCCGAGTGAAGAGTCAGCCCTCTTAGCAGAGGCAGCCTCTATGATCCTGTTGCCATCCTAATGGGAACATGGTTAGCAAACTCAGAAGAATAACAAGAAGACCAATGGTCTCAGGCAGTGTGGATGGGGTGGGGGTAGGGGAGGCGATTCAAAAGCAAGCAGCAAGTGCGGGTACAGAGAAATGCTCTGGGACTGTGTGCTCATAGAGCGGCAAGTGCGGGTACAGAGAAATGCTCTGGGACTGTGTGCTCATAGAGCGATTTGGGCTTTTACGTGGAAATGGAAGCTGTTGGAAAGGTAGGCAGGGAAGAGAGCATCGCGCATCGTTCTCCTCTCGCCATCATCAGCACCACTGCCATCCGATCACAGTTAAACAGTAAATTGCTCTTAACGTAGACTGGGTACTACTTGAAGAACTTAGTGGTTTAGCCTATGGGATTCTTGAAGTAGGCATCACTTGTTGGCATCTTTAGCAGCTGAATAACTAGTTTGGCTCCACTATACTGCATCTCCCCTGCTCTCTTGCTCGCATCACTCATGAAACTATAAAATCTGTGATCTTTTTCCTGCTTAATCCATGTTGGTAGAACGGACGCTGAATAAAGTTTTCCTTTTCTCTGCAGCCCAAGAGTCCAGGTCTGTTCATGTAGGAGATGGCAACGTGAAGGGAATGATGGGCCCTGGTAAGTGCGTCTTCTTGTTTAAGTTTGTATTATTATATGCATGTGGAATGTGTGCGTACGCATGCTCCTGCACAGACATGGAGGTCAGAGGACAACTCTGTGGAGCCCGTTCTCTTACTCCACCTTTATGGTTTCTAGGAACAGAACTCAGGCTGTTGGGATTACAAGGCAAGCCCTTTCCCTCCAGAGTCAATAGCTGGTCCGGGCACCTTTCCTGCTCCCCTAGTCCATGCTGAGCCAAATAGGAAAGGACTCAGACATGTTAATCAGTTTCTTGACTCTGACAAATACTTGAGAAAAACCACTTCAGGGAGGACACATTTTCCTGAGCTCCTGATTCCAAAGGTTTCAATCCAAGGTCAGCTCGCCTTGTCTCTGTGGACTTTGGATGAGCAGAATAGCATCATGGGAAGGCTGTGGCTTAAGATGCTGCTTCCTTCGTGGCACCCAGGAAGCAGAGGAAATAATAGGAAGGAATTGGGACAAGCTACACATTACTAAAGCATATCCCTAGTGACCAATTTCTCGCAGATAGTCTCTACCTTTCATATTTTATCACCTCCCAATAGTCTAAAAATGGAACCCACTGTTGGATTAACCTGCTAGCGAGGTAGAGACCCCCTTCTCCAGCCACTCCCCAAAGCCCCACTCTGACCACCGCTTGCATCACGGACCACGCCTCCAGTCCACAGCCTTGTGAGGACACTTGGCATCTAAATCATAGTACTGGACAGGAGTGAGCATCATTTTCACCTACGTCCCACACAGGTGCTGGGGGAGGAGAACTGGTAACTGCGAGGAACAAATCAGGGTTTTTAATTCTTTCTTGTTCCAATTATTGATAATCTAACAGTTGCTAAAGTCTCACAGGGGAATAGTCCACGATAATTTTTTTTTCTTCAGTTTTTCAAGACAGAGTTTCTTTGTAACTTTGCAGCCTGTCCTGGAACTAGCTCTTATAGACCAGGCTGGCTTTGAACTCACAGAGATTCACCTGCCTCTGCCTCCTGAGTGCTGGGCCACCACCGCTGGGCTACAGATTTTTCTTGCATCACATACTTTATAGTTTAATCTAAAATCTACTTCATTGATAATTCACCAGAACTTATACATTATTTAATCTTCCCTCCATTCTTTCCTTTTCCCATTTCTGCCAACTTAGCATCCATAGGATAAAGGGACTACATAGCAAACAGAACGTCCTGTACCACTACCCAAATGCCTTTGGTATCTTTCCTTCTCTCCTGTCTGTACCTCCTCCTAAAAGTGCTACCGTCGCCTCCTATGTTTACCTGAAGGCAAAAAGATCCCGGGAGTCAAATGTGATGCATTAAATCATACTATGCTATAAATTTCCTAGTCTAGTAGTCTAGTCTATTGGGTCACAGTCTTGTGTGTGTGTGGCCTGGCTGGCCCCAACCTTTCTACAAAGCTAAGGACAGCGTTCAATTCCTGAACCTCCTGCCTCCGTCTCCCAAATTAAGTACAGGCGTGACTACCATGCTGGGATTTAAAAAGCTTCCTTATTTTGTGGACCAGAGAATAAGAGAGGTGAGAGTGGCTGATTGCAGTTTGGGAAATTTTTAACCCTTCATTGACATATTTACTCTTTTAGGGATGAGGTACCCATCTGGCTAGCAGTATATTAATTAAGATTTAGTAACAAACACTAGTTCCTTCCTTCCTTCCTTCCTTCCTTCCTTCCTTCCTTCCTTCCTTCCTTCCTTC